GGAAGCACATCTAGCCAGCAGTTCCAAAGCCAAGACCCCTTTTGAGATTTAACAGCATGAAATATAGAGGAGTTAGAAAAGTACCTTTCCTTGAGAACCTTGCTGACTAGTAGGTTGGGCTGAGTTGTAATCCTCCACAGCTGCTTACATATCAGTGCTTCATTAAAAAGCTTGATGTCCAGGAAACCAAGACCCCCATCTTGTTTTGGAATAGTAAGCTTAGCCCAGCTCTTCCAGTGAATTCCCTGAGATGCTTCAGAATTTGTTTTCCACCAAAATTTAGCACATAAGCTAAAGATTGCTGAACAGATAGAGACTGGTAGTTTAAAGCAGGACATAGTAAAAATGGGTAAGGCTTGCAGCACTGATTTGAGCAGAACAGCTTTCCCAGCAGAAGAGAGTAGCTTTGCTTTCCAGTTTTGAAGTTTGGTCTGTGTTGAATCAAGAAGATATGCAAAGACCTCCTTTTTAGACCTTCCTATGCCAAGGGGTAACCCAAGGTACCTTGTGGATCTGTGTTTTTGAATACCATTTAATGCTGCACAGATGTTATCCTGAAGGCTGGTAGGAGAATTCCTGCTGAAAAAGATTGCTGACTTTTGGAGGTTCACTGATTGTCCTGTAAACAGCTTATATCTGTTCAGAATGTCCATAAGAATAGCAGCCTGATCCACCCCAGCTCTACAAAAGAATATGGAGTCATCTGCAAAGAGTAAATGAGAGATGGATGGGCCTGATGGAGATAGCTTAAGCCCTTTCAACTGTCCAGAATCAGTGGCATTAATAATAAGAGCAGATAGAAGTTCAGCCACAATTAAGAATAGATAGGGAGAAAGAGGGTCTCCTTGTCTAATGCCCCTGGATGGAGAAACAAATCCACTGATTTCACCATTAATCTTGAATGACAAAGAGGTGGTAGATATGCAGGCCATAATAAGTTTGATAAAGTCTAAGTGGAAACCCATCTGAACCATAATCTTCTTAACACTGATCCATTCAACTCTATCAAAGGCTTTGACAAGATCAAGCTTCAGTGCCATAAAATAGTTCTTACCAGTAGAGTGCCTATTCAAGAAATGAAATGCCTCCTGAGCTATGATTACATTATCAAGCAGATGTCTTCCCATTAAGAAAGCAGATTGGAACCCACTGATGCAACCATCTAAACATGTTTTAAGTCTGAGGGCAAGAACTTTAGAGATGACTTTATAAACCACTGTGCACAAGCTTATAGGCCTAAATTTGCATATTGAGTCAGGGGAATCACATTTAGGAATTGGGGAAAGGATTGTATGGTTCCAATATTGAAGCATTTGATCAGAGTGAAAAAAGCTTAAAACAGCAGTAATGAAATCATTCTTAATAAGAGTCCAGAAGTGTTGATAAAAAAGAGCATTTATACCCTCTTCCCCATGAGCTTTTTCAGGATGTAGACTAAACAGGGCTGATTTAATCTCCTCTTCATCCACAGGTAGTAAGAGAGCATGGTTCATATCTTGAGTTATTGAAGGAGTGATCAGTGGCAGCAAAGAATCCCCTCCCCAGGATCCTTCTGTTGAAAAGAGAGAAGTATAGAAGTCAGCAATGTGTGCCTGAATATCCTTCGTGGATGTGAATTCCTCCCCTCTTGCAGAAATCAGTCTGGTAATAGCATTCATTCTTCTTCTTTGCAATGTGTAGGCATGAAAGAATTTGGAGTTGCAATCCCCATGTTTGAGCCAGTTCAATCTTGCTTTTTGCTGCCAGAAAATAGCCTCATTGTGATGTGCCTTGTCCAGCTCCCTTCTTGTAGAGTTCCACTCCTCCCATTTGTCTTCTGATGAATCCTCTCTAAGGGCTTCCAATTTATGAGTAAGAGACTCTATATTCAGCTGATTTTGGGTTTGAAAGTGAGAGCTCCATTTCAGAAGGGCAACTCGAGTGTTCTTTACCTTTTCTTTGAGTTGATAAAATGGAGTGCCTAAGGTTGGTAATTGCCATGCTCTCTCAACCACTGCATCAAGGTCAGCTTTGCCAATCCACCTTTTATCAAACTGAAACCTTTTGGGCTTCCTTTCCAACTGAACTCCCAGATCCACCAAGATAATAGAATGATCTGAAGAGCTGGCCACCAGATTTAGAGTCTTTGCATTAGGAAATTTCTGCATCCACTCCAGTGAGGCAAAGGCTCTGTCTAGTTTCTCCTCCACCACCCCTTCATTGCTCCTGTTATTGCACCAGGTGTATTGATAGCCAAGCATTTTGATTTCCTCCATCTCCATGGAATTGATGAAAGAATTGAACCCCTGAAAGCTACTTGCACTTCTAATGATCCCTCCAGATTTTTCTGAATTGGAACACAAGTCATTCCAATCCCCAACCACAAACCAGTGAGCTCCCCATTTTTGTTTTTCAGATTCTAAACTTTCCCATTGAATGGATCTTTGAGTTCTGCAGGGGCTCATGTACACAAATACTCCCCATTGGGGTTCAGATGAAGGCAATTGAAAATGAACAGCAATGAAAAAAGAGGAATTGTAAATATGCAAAATATGTACAAAGGGGTTCCAAAGAAGCAGAAGACCCCCACTTAAGCCTTGAGGGTCAACCAGAGAAAATCTCTCCTCAAAGCCTAGTTTTCGGATAACAGTTTTAACAAAAGCAGAAGATTTTTTTGTCTCTGAAAGAAATAAAAAGATTGGGTGATGAGACCTGTGAGTCTCTCTGATTTGGGAAACTGTAGAGGGCCCACCCAGCCCTCTACAGTTCCACACCGCAGCTAAAATGGAGAACTTGGGTGCCACTTCAGGCTGGCAACCCCCACCTCCTTCATAGATGCTTTTAACTTTTTGCTTTCTGTTGCTTGCTGATTTTGGACCTCTTCAGATTTCTTGTCTTCTGTTGGTTCTGCTCTGGGTCTCTTACCATATGAAGAGCTTTCAATATTTTGGGTACTCTCTTCTTGCCTTTGCAGTCTGCCTTCTTTGTTTCTTACCCTTTTCCAGGTTTTGGATTTGAGTTGAGAAGGCTTGGGGTGATTCACAATGGTTAGAGGTAATATTCTAGTTTCAGTGTCCATAGGTTGGATAGGCTCTTTTGTGTGGATAATGCTGGTTGATATTCATGTTGTTGTATTGAGATCAGTGTGAGAGCTGTTTAAGGAATGTGGGGATTTGAGTTTTTGATTGGAATCTGAAGAATGGATTATAAGTTGGTTCCTGAGAGATGAGTGACTGTTTATAGCTTGATGTTCAGATTGTTGTGCATTGGAAGTAGGTTGATGGGATCTGCGAGGACTTTGGGGTGGGCTCTTTGAACCAGAGGTATTGTTGTTAGGTGTCCAGAACTGATTCTCAGCTGCTCTAAGCCAGTCTCCATATTGGCCCTCCTTAACCCTGTTGGATTTGATATCCTCCACCTTCTTGATACACCCTTTATCTAAATGCCCTATGTGTCCAAAGTAATTGCACAAGCTTCTTAATTTCTCATATTTGAAGCTGATGGCTATCACCTGATCGCCAAGCCTGATTTTTGTACAGCGGGGAATAGGCTCCCTTAAATCCAGAGAGACTAAAAGACGCATAAATTTACCTCCAATAAACTAAGATTTCAAAAATCTTAAAAAGTCTTTAAAACTCAATACACCTTTTTTAAGAATGCTACTCCTTTGATTTGGCCATACAACTAAATTCACTACGTGAATATCTGGATTTAGGTACATCAAATAAAACTTATTTTACACATCTATACTAATATAAAAAGGTTGTTGGAAAAATACATAATAGTAACTTTGACTTTTTAGTTAAATATTTGACTTACTATTATAAGAAATGTTTTTAAAAACACATGAGATGATAAAAAAAAATGAGCAAATCAATTTCATATACTACTTTTTAGGAAACAAAAAAAACGGGTGCATATTTTAAAAATGGATGTTACCTTATTCTCTTTCTTTTTTCTTTTAACCACTTTCCAGTCATTTGGTGAATAAATTCTAAATTAATTTTCTTGGTAAAATTATCGGTGCATATTTTTCAATGGTTTATTGAACGATCTCATTTCCCACACAATTTTGGCAAAATCCGGTTCTCACTATACTTTCAAAATAATAAACTTATCTATTACATAGAAAACTCGATTTTCAGAATGAGACTAGATATTTGTTGAATGATTCCAATAAGATTTATTTGGTAAAAACGTGTGAATATACCATGATAATTTGTACTTTTGGTAACATCCTTTTCATGTTTTCGTCCAAAAAATATTTAACAAAATTTGCAATTTAGGAGAAAATATTTTATGTAGAAACATCCATAACATATTTTTTATGACATTCAATTTAGGCAAATATAATATTTAATTTTGAGTAAGAATAATTTCACTTCAAATAACGCATCAATACAGTGTAAACTAAAAATGTACAATAATATCAAAAATAATTTAATATGGAAAAGTATCAATACAACTAAAATATAAAAAAATTGATCTTTATTTTACATGGCAATATATTATTCCAATATTCACCATAAGTTAATGCGAATATGAAAAAATATTATCAAATGTACTTATCTATTATTTAATGAGAAATGTTAATTTATAAATATGGAAGATGCTACGGTCCCGTTACGGAACTATACCGTCGAGGTTTGTAAACGTTAGATCAACTGTCCCCGACCGTTACATGATGATCTAACGGTTCCAAATCCCGACGGAATACCGTAACGGGACTGTAACATTTCCCTATAAACTTACCCGTGCATCGCAGAGATATTGCACGAGATTCGTACTAGTCTTATTAACACAAACAATATTAAATTTAGGTACACCAAATAAAACTTATTTTACACATCTTATTAACATTAACACAAACAATATTAAATCAGGATGCACAATAGAGACCTGCTCCATCTATACACGTATAAGGGAATAAAATGTATAAGAGCATTGATGGATGTGAACCTATTTCAAATATATTTCTCGAAATAAAAGTTCATTATAGAACCTATCGTGCTTTGCTTTTCAAATTGTAATTAGAATTAATGCATTAATGTGTAAGAAAGAACATTCTCGCAACTGATAAAATGGAATTATACGAGCAAGAAACACGATCTTCGTGACTATAAAGTTTAAATTATGATCAAAGGGCAAAAACACAATTTCAAATCAGGTTCACTGGGAAATCCTTCCACAAAGCATCCATCTCCATCAAGTACAGCCAGAACAGATCCGATAAATAATTATACATGTTTTAAAATTACAAATGGCTCCACTAAATAATTAACTCCATGAATGGCAATGTACTATAATCAGATGATGAAAAAATCCAATATCGGATATCACTTTCGTATGATAAAAAAGAAAAAAACTTTCCACCAACACTAGAAAATCTTATTATACTTTCTCATCGACTTCTGAAGAATCTGTTAAGCCTGCATGCTTTTGTTGACTGCCTCTTGGGATTGAATAGCTACGTCTTTCTTTGCCTCCGGGCTTTGAAGAGGCATTGCCATACCAGATCATACCAATGACTGCAATGATCATGCCTATAACTACTTGTACATTAAGGCCCTCTTTGCCGAAAAATAAGAAACCGAGGATAAGTACAAGAATAGTTTTCATATGGCCGAGCACTTGGAACGAGACAGCAGTGAATCTTCCAATGCAGATGAACTGGCTGAGATTAGTCCCCACTGCAATTGTGCAGGATAGGACCAAAAACACCTGTGCAGTCAAAAGTAACTTGTTTAGTTATGTATGTATAACTATATTTATATATGCGGCATTGATCCATGTCTACTGGTCTACCCTATGATATCTACACGATTCGAATTCTTGTTTGCAACTTACTTCCTGTTACTGTTGTTCTACAGAAAGAATCGCAGAATAGCAAAAATAGGGGAATCTACTTGTAACGCTACAAGTGGATCCTAATTGAAAGGAAATTAAGGACACTATTGGCATTTCTGTTCAAGGCAATAGCTATGTTGTAGAGTTGCAATGATTTACTGTGAAAAAACACTGAGAAAAATCATGACATCTGAAAAACCTATAGAGGATAGGGAAATATGTAACGCGTATAATAAAAATACTAATTAATATCATCAGTAAAAGCACAAGTCCTGTAAGCAGATATGCGACGTGCCACTTGAGAATCTGCAAACAGTTCATACATGTATCTAACCAGATATTATACAGTACAAATCACTAGTGAGGAAGTGCAGTCAACTTCAGTTCCTTCTTAACAGTAATGTCATTGTGATACATATTATGTATACATACCGAAATTATGATAAGGAAACCTGTGACCCTCTATCCAATCCATAAGACTGCACCTTAGTACCCAGCAAAACACTTAATATGGCAGTTGTGGAAAAAGCAACAATCTTACCACAGTTTAAATCAGTTCTTTTTCCTTTACAAATTGGTACACTAAAGACATATGGACAAGGGATACTAAAATATAATGATTTAAGGGAAATGAAAATTAACTTATTTATGCAATATACATAATAAAGGTTGTGGATGCACTTACCACAGACTGCAAATGGAAGTCAAAGGCGTCAATTCTCTTGTTTGTCAACCAATAGTCGAGAAATGGGCCTAACAACAATAGTGATGCAGCCTGAGCTGGTGCAGTGTGACCCAGTAGATTGAATGACGTCAGAGAATACTTTCTCTGAAGAAAATGAACATACTGCAAATGCAAAGTTTCAGTTTTGTATTTTCAACAAACTACATACAGAGTGTACAAAAATGCTTGGATAAATACAATCTGAAATATGCATTCTACAAGGGCTAGGTGTGAAGCAATTCGCAGCCATTTCAAACTACCCACCCACCACACACACACACACACACACAAAATTCAATATCTTGCTGCGAAAGAACTTCGATCTATACGAAATTGGTTACAAAAATAGTTAGCTTAAACACTTCCATTGATTGAATCCAAACATCAATTTTTAACTTTCTCAGCACATGTACAGATTTCTCAAAGTAGAACTTACATACTGTTGCAGTGCTGTACTCCAAACTGCAATAAAAGCAGCAATGAAGCCCTTGGCATTAACACTCACATCAGTAACTGTGCAGACAGCAACACCAAGGAGTACGACTAAGATGCTAAGCTTTGTATCTCTCGAATATCGAATCTTGTCAAACACGACTTCCAATAAGCAGGATACAGGGATCATAGTCAGCTTCGCAATCTGATAGCGTGCAGACATAATATTATCTTTTAGGATTTAGTGCAGAATTATAACAGAAATAGAGTCACACACTCTCCCCTAATTTTCTACTTTTATATTGATATATCAATATATGTAAAAACTAAAAACCCAAATAGATAAAACTCATTGATATAATATACCTGGTAAAATCCCACTGAATTCCACATTAGGCTGACATTCATTCCTACTATAGAAAAATTTGCAAATATGATAAATTTTAGAAGCTCTGGTAAAGGTAGATGAGAAGGTTGGATGTAACCCAGCCACCTTAGAACAGCCGTCATTAAGGTTGTGGTAGCAAAATGCAAACCAGTCAATGTTGTAGCTGCACAAGTTAACAAAGTGAAAAAGCTAAAATCATGCATAATGAAGAAAAGAAAGAAAAAAAGATTAAGAGAAGCACAGGGTACACCAGTAAGATCAAAGAATATTTTGGTAACTGCTTTAACTTGCTTACTACCTCCTGATATATGAAGATAATATCATTTAACGGATGTTCAACGATTTTTCACCAAAAGAGTTTTTGGTAGTCTAAAGACAATCTCTAGCTTTGACAAAATTTATATGATATTGAGTTTTTAAAACAAAGTAATATTTCAACTCATGTAAATTCACATTTGGTCTATGAGTATACATCTTGTTCGGAGGGGTAAATGAAATTTACCAAAGCTGAAGCCATAAGTAGCCATTAAGGCTTTATTAACAATTATGATCCCAACTGAAGTGACTACATTGAACATCCATGCAGCTGCATCAAGTGTAGCCTTCTTATCGGCTTTGCTTGGTGGTGGCATTTTGCTGTTTCCTTTATTCCTGCTATTACAGTCCGAAGGGTGAATAATTACCCCCTAATAGGACCATAAATTATCAAATGAACTACCAAGGCCACATTCAATTCGAGATTTGGTCCTCTGAATTGCCTGCACAGGTACCACTTTCAGCCAAGGAAATATCACAACTAACCAAGGGGAAATGCTCCACCTACAGTAATAATGGCAGATGCATAATAGTTTTTTTATAAAAAAAAAAAAGGTTAATTAGAAGCTTCCTTTAGCATAAAAGAACTAACTTGGGAGAAGCAGATTTACAACAACCAATGATTCACTGAAACAAAGCGACGAGAAATTTTGAAACTCTGCAAATTCCAATCTTCACGTCACACAGATAATCACAAAAGGATAAAAGTAAACACGTTGTAGTTTCACTTCCTATATCAAGAAAAAAGTACAGCACTGATTAACAGGGCAAGAAGGAAGCACTAAAAACTAATTTCATCCCAAGATTGTCATATCCAAACACAAAACTACCCCAAAATTCCAAAAATATCATCATTCAAAAATCAGTCACCATCAGATCTAAAAAAAAAAATCATTTTGTCAGATCGCAATAGATTCCGGAACTCCACATCAATTACTGACCAAAACACAGATCTAACCAGAACTGACCACCAAATTGAACCGGAAATGAATGTACAATCCACGCTCACATCACGGAATGACCTAACAATTATAAGCCAAAAAAAAAAAAGCATTAAAAGACGTACCGCTTTTAGAATTTAGAATTTGAAACGGAAAGAAGGGGAGTTTCAGCGTGAATTTCAGTTTTGCTACAGATCCTCACAGCTCACAAGTTAATACAGGGCATGCATGAGATAGAGATAGATCCATATATATGTGTATATACATATATATCATACGCAACGCGTATGATATAGAAATGAGAACGTAGAGAGATTGGAAATGTGAAAACTGAGATTTGTGCTTTTAGGGTTTGACAAATGAAAATGGAATGCGAATTGCAGTTATGGAAGTTTGCATCGCATGTTTACTCACCTATTATACACAGCCAATTTTATTATTCAACTTCATAATTATGTTAACGAAAACTTGATGCATGATTAAGAGATATTTATTAATTTATTAATATTTATAAATTAAAAATTTCTCATTTAATAATATTTATAATTAAAAAATATAGAATCAACATGTAATGTAATTTACCTATATTAATTTATTAAAAATATTATATAAAAATTAAATTGTGCAAAATTACATAAAACATGTATATTTATAAAATTATGGAATCAACATCAAAATGTTATACTACCTCCTATTTGTTTTTTAAATGTCATTTTGGCTTTAACAACAACTAACTAAATAAATGACGTTTTGGATCTTTTATACATATTTTTCATTATTACTCCATATAGATAATAAATACACTACGTCTTTCATATTCACTCTTCATTTTTTTTCAAAACATCATCTCTATCCTCATTAATGAAAGTTATTATTGGCAAAAAAAAAATTCTTAATTAGTGTGCAACTTCTCAAAACGACACATATTAAAAAAAAAGGAGTATTATTTAACTTCATAATTATGTTAACGAAAACTAGTACGAATCCCTTGCTTCGCACGAGTAAGAGATATTTATAAATTAAAATTTCCCACTCCATAATATTTATAATTAAAAAATATGAAATCAACATATAATGTAATTTACCTATATTAATTTATTGAAAATATTATATAAAATTTTAATTGTGAAAAATTACATAAAACATGTCTATTTATAAAAATATGGAATCAACATCAAAATGCTATATTATTTAACTTCATAATTATGTTAAAGAAAACTAGTACAAATCTCGTGATGCAAGAGTAAGAGATATTTATTAATATTTATAAATATATTAATAAAATAATATTTCTCATTAAATAATATTTACAATTAAAAATTATGGAATCAACATATAATGCAATTTACCTATATTAATTTATTGAAAATGTTATATAAAATTTAAATTGTGCAAAGTTAGATAAAAAATGTACATTAATTCACCTTATCAGCATGCCACCTGGGGAAGCTAAAATTTTGAAAAAATATCAGAAAAAGCATTATGAAGGCAAGATACTTTACGAAGACTTTACTTTGATTAAGGTTAATGGTGATAATTATTGAAAACGAAGGGAATAAATATGAAAATGAAGCGGATCTCAAAAGCCATCTTTTCTCACTTTACTTCTTAATGAAGTCCAAGTCATGGTTTCTCACTCCACTTTTGAAATGTTACTCTATTCAAAAGTCCATAATTAATTTTACACATTTTAAAAGGATTCGATAGTTCAAAATGTGATTCTAAACGAGATTAATATAAAACATCTTTAATTACGGAAATTACTGTAAATATTTAATAAAACTTTCATGAGTAGTATGATTTGATACAACACCCAAAGTAGCTCGATGAAGCGGTGTTATATTCGTTAGCTCATATGGAAACTCAATGGACCTTTTGTGATCATTAGCTCGAGTCAGGGAGTTTCGACCACATAACCTGAAAAGGAGGTGTTGATTAAAATATTTTGTTAAGAGCTCAAGCGACCTATAACTGCAAATGAGGCCGGTGGCACAATAGTCAGAGAGATGATGACTTATATAATTAGGAGTGCGATCTTATTACTTTTTTATGTTAAGAAAATATCGATATCCTCGGGATTTATTCATAGCTAACTTGGAGAAAGTAAAAAAAGCTTGATATAAAAGGATTCAGAGGTTTGATTTAGGATTATCGTATAATACAATATTAACAAAATCTAAAAAGATCAGCATTTAACTTGAACATCGAGAACTTTTTCGCAAGGAACCCTCTTCACGTGTTTTGCAAGTCAATGTGATCGAGTAAAGGAGAATATCCACAATAACCGAGTTATTTCAATCCATGGGGACAAAGAAATCAAATTAACACCGTTTGTGGGACACCTAATTTTCTACCTTCGAGCATAAGATAAGGTTTTCTGGATATAATAGTAATAATCCAAGAAGATGCGATGACAGATAGAAAATCTAAAGAGAAATCTAAAGCAATGTCTTGATGATACATGGGTGGGGCGATTTGCAAAAATTGTTAGTCTTAGATTACTTATTGCCATTGATGTAGCATTCAGAATAGCTCAATAGACAGATGTGATTGGTTAGCTCGGAGTAGGATGATCCAGAGGAGCTCTAACTCGATTAAGGAAAGCTAACTCAGTTAAGAAGCTCACAGATAAGGTACTGGGTGACCTTATAAGATGACCTGAAGGTAACGACTTTCAGGAGCTCGAATGTAAAGAATTATCTCGAAGTTCCGAGGTCGCAAGATGTAGAGGTCGGGTATCAGCCTTGGTCAGGTTTTAGAGTAGGGAGGTCGGGAGATCGTGGTTAAGACCTAGGGACCTCAAGGCTATTAAGTAAAGGGGAAAGAATCTTAATACGATGCCAATTTGATGTGTTAATTTGTCGTGAACCGGTTTAAGTCAATCGATCATTGATCCTCAATCCCCAGCCTCCTTTGAGCTTCGAAGACCTGCAATGCGCCGAGATGAGGTCACGGCGTAGACACTCCGACACTCAAGTAAGAATCGATACCAAAATAAATTTAAGTCTATAAACTTAATGCGTATATATGCGATAATCATAACACAGAACCTGATTACCCTTATATAGGGAGGATGTCTTGATGCCCAAAAGAGTCTTTGTTGGAAAAGAGATCTAACCAGATCCTCTTTCCTAACTTACCACGCCACTAACCAACATGTCTCCATTAGAAGCTACACTTTCCATCGTATTAAGATTCTTTCCCCTTTACTTAATAGCCTTGAGGTCCCTAGGTCTTAACCACGATCTCCCGGTCTTTTAGTGGACAGAAATGTCCGCTACTCACTAACTTTTAAATCCTTCTAAGGTTGATGTTCCCAAGTCTAAGGTGCCAAAGATATGCTTGATTCATCTGCGAAGACTCCTTCCTCTTATTAGATTTAGTCATGGCATTATTCAATTCAGTTCGTTGCACTGTGGGATAGTTTGGTTTAAGAACATACAAATTACCAACTAATGAACCAGAACAAATCAAACGATTTCCATAACGAATAATAACCAAGTCATAAAACGTAAATGAAAAACCATCCAAAACAAGTTTAGAAACTGAAACAAGGTTCTTTCTAAAACTTGGAACATAAAGGCAATGTCTCAAAACCAAACTACTACTATCAAAAGATAAAGTAACGTCTCCCACTGCAACAGCCGCCACTTTCTTAGCATTACCCATGTAATCTCTCCCTCCTTAAGTCGTCTGGTTTCTACACACCAGGTTCTGGTAGATACAACCGCTAAACATATTTCTACGACATTAGTAAGAGAGTTACCTTTCTTGAGGAGAGGGCAGTCGACCTTTCAGTGTCCTGACTTGTTGCACTTGTCGCATCTTTCTTTCGGTTTCTTTGCCACAGTCTGAGGGGCCGGTCGCGGAGCAACCGGAGCATCCTGTGTCTTCGCCTTTCTCGCAAACTTCTTTCTCTTCCTGCCCTTGTGAGGCCTGGTAGGTCCAGCCTGGTCGGCTACTAGCACTTGAGGGTTCTGAGTGAACAAGGCTTCTGCCGACTGAAGCTCAGCTAATAGTTCTGGAAGAGCCATATGCATCTTGTGCACGTTGTAGTTCAGCCGGAACTAATCAAAGCTCTTCAGCAGAAAATAAAACCTCCCATAATCTCAAGCTAATTGAGTTGCGCCATTACCCTTAAGGCATGCTCCATTATGGGTGTGCCCTCGACCATGCGCGTGTGAATCAGAGCACTCAAGACTTCCTGCCTAGCAGCCCTAGACTGATGTCCAAAAAAATTTATGAGATTGAGAAGTATATCTGCCACAGTGGTCATAGACTGATGCCGATGTTGAAGAACATTCGATATAGAAGCCAAAATGTAACACTTCGCCATCTTAGCAGCCTTCTTCCACCGATCATACTCCCCTTTCTCCTACTCAGGAGCATCGGCCGCGGGCTCTGCCGGGCAAGCTGTCATGCCCCTCACACCGGATTGGACAGGAACGCGACGCCAAACAGTAATATAATGAACAATGAATAATACAAAAATAATAACAAGGATATAAAACAACAATTCAAACTTAGTCCAGTGAAAATAAGTTTGATAGTCGGGATACAAGTCATACAACATGATCTGAATAAATACAAATTACAAACTGGCAGCGGAGTAGTCTTAGAATAAAACAAGTACCAAAATGACAATGGGTAATACTAAGTCCCAATTTTTACAACATCCCAAAATACGTTTATTTAATACCATGCTAACAATATAGAGGCCAGGATTCAATTGACAAATTCTTCTCCAGAGTTAGTCTTTTCCACCATGGTTGGCTTT